GGGACTCCTCCCCTCGCCTGTACTCGGGGGGGGTCCCCCGCCGCAGCAGCCAACTTGCTGCTGCTTCATACACTTCTGCTGCTGCTAACGGGGTTTCCTCAGTTCTTCCTTCACCGCGTGCTGGAGCAGCACTCAGCAGGTGCAGCAGCAGCAGCAAGCCTCTGGGTGCAGCAGCAACAGCAGCAGCAACAGCAGCAGCAGCAGCAGCAACATATGGCGTCTCCTTTGATCGTTCACTGTCTCCTTTTGGGGGGACAGGGAGGAGACAGCGCCTGAGTGAGGGCCCGCACCGCTTCATGCTGCAGCCAGAAGAGCAGCAGCAATTCGACTATGCAGAAGACTCTCCTGCTGCTGCTGCTGCAGCAGCAGCAGCAGCAGCAGCAGCAGCAGCAGCAAAACTAGGAACTGCAACAGGAAGCTTCATGTCTGCTGCCTCCACCACCGCCTCCGCCTGGGCCTCCTCAGGCACATCCTCAAGGCTCTCGGGGGACTACCCGCTGCAGCAGCAGCAGCAGCAGCAACAGCAGCAGCAGCAGCAGCAGCAGCAGCAGCAGCAGCAGGGTTTCTGGGCTGCTGAGGCCCCGCTGCAGCACATGCAGCGAAGGGCCTCTGACTCGGGGGCCCTTCGCAGAGGGATGTCATTCTACACTGCTCCCCCTCCTCTGTCTTTTTACTCAGGCCAGCAGCAGCAGCAGCAGCAGCAGCAGCAGCAGCAGCAGCAGCAGCAGCTGTTGCTGCAGCAGCAGCAGCTGCTGCAGCAGCAGAGACCTTCGGAGGCTTCAGCAAAGCTGGGGTCTGCTGCAGACGCAGTTCACTGGGGCTCTCTGCTGCGGCCAACACACAACCTGTAGTTCAGTGTCCTGGCTAGCTAGCCAGCTAGCTAAACAGCTAGCCAGCTAGCTAAATACCTAGCCAGCTAGACGTGTAGCTAGCTAGCTAGCTAAATAGCTAGCTAGCTAGCTACATAGCTAGCTAGCTAGCTAAATAGTCACCTAGCTAGCTAAATAGCTAGCTAGCTAGCTAAATGGCTAGCCGGCTAGCTAGCTAGCTAAATAGCTAGCTAGCTAGCTACCTGGGTTGCTAGCGAACTAGCTAGCTAATTGGCTGGCTAGTGGGCTGGCTAGCTAACTGGCTGGCTGGCGAAATAGATAGCTAGCTAGCTAGCTAGCTAGCCAGGGTAGTGTTGGTGGCTCTAGGTCCCTTGGCGCTCCCGGAGCCTTCAGGTGTATAGGCAGCTTTTTGATTTATATTTAATTCCTTTTGTCTTTCCCAACTTTGTCTTCGCAAACCTTCTGTTCAGGCAGGCTAGCTAGCCATACAGCTAGCTAGCTAGCTAGCTAGCTAGCCAACTCGCCAACTAGCTAGCTAGCTAACTAGCTAGCAAACTCGCCAGCTAGCTAGCTAGCTAGCT